TTTTTTTCTAAAAATTTAGTTTTTGTTGCAGAATGGCAGGTAATACGAAACTGCATTGATATTTCGTCCCTTATGAACAGTTTCAAAAAAATTTACTTGGCACCCTTTCACCCTTAGGTGACGATATGTTCTTCAATGAAAATATTGTATTCCTTTATGGCGCTTCTAAGATGTGTGGCAACTAGTTTTAATTTTTTAGGGTGGGTTTCGAAATATTGACCAAAATTACCCAACTACTTTGATCTCAACCCTCTACAAAGTAGGATATACTTTAACACAGGAAGGACCTAACTCATTTTCTTTACAAATCCAGTATCATACAAAAGTCTGCCGATTGCTTACAAAACCCTACTAGATTTTAAAAATAACTACTAGAGCATAAAACTAATTACATTCTTAAAGAATAGCAGGCTTTAAAAGGAATTGGCAGCACTTGATTTTCTATGGAGTTTTTTTAACACTCCGTAAAGAAAGAAAAATGTAAGAAAGGGCCTTTCTATATTAAGTAAACGATATGTACATATTATCTGTGGACTCTTAAGAAAACAGCTGGTTATTTAAGAGATTTTGATTTTAGATGATAAAGAAAGTTTAAATAAAAATAGAAAACTAACAGCAGTCATTATCAAATAATATGAAAATTTAATACGAAACCAATGATGTGGCAATTTACTGAAAGTATGACCAGACTCGAGATGAGTAATTTAGTCAAATGTCCACAGGTACATATGTATGTATGTATATATTTTTTTCTATGTACTTCACTAAATTTTCTTTACAATGTATGTTCTACTCATACATAATACTCTAAGGGTCGTTTTTACGGTGGAGAGTTAATTCACATTCGCCACTTTCTTTTTCTTTTTTTTTTTTTTGCTGACAGTTAACTACCGAACCTGAGTTAACCCTACACTTCTGAAAACAGTACGTAGTATATAGTATGTAAGTAATAATTTTACGGTTCGACGTTGGTGGTTGATATTCCTCTTTGTTTTTGTTTTTGAGCATCTAAAACGCGCTAAGCAAACATATCGCAGACCTTCTTCAAAAGAGGCAAAACTCAAACAAAAATTTGGTAGATTTTTTGCATAAAATAAATCGTTGGATTTATTTTCAATTAAGTAATGCCAATTTTCTTTCCTTCATTATTGTTATACCTGTTTTCGTGTTAAATGCGTTGAATCTTGTACGATCCACACGCAGTTGTATTTCCGGATCTTATTTTTCAATTGTGCCTCTTTTAAAGATGGTTTGCTATATGTATGTATGTTTATACAAACTTTTAAGATACATATAAGATATTTATACATACACGAGTATAGTTAATGCAAGGATTTTGTTAACAAATAATTTTTTACATCAGTATTTTATACATTATTTAGTACAAGAAAATATATAACTAATACAGAGTGGACTATAAACACGCTATAATTGATTTGAGAAGAGTACCTACGAATTTAAATGTAGTATTACGGTACACATGAGATAGTTAAAAGGCACAAAAATTCATTACAATCTTAAGATAAATTTGCAACTTTGGGGAAAAATTCGACAACAGTTCCTAATTGATAGTAGTATATTTAATTATTAATTGTTTATAATTACATACGCATTAAACTATAGCAAGGAAACGGTTACTTACATATGTAGGTATGTACTTAAACCTACTATTCTATAGATAATTTTAATATATTTATGAGCTTATTAACAATTACGATTACAGTTTACAAATTTAGTTTCCATATGCGGTACTTGGTTGTGAAGAAAAAAATGTTGTAGTAAAATACCTATGATTATTGTAGACGAACAGCGAAATTAGTTTGTATTGCGGCTGTTGAGCTGTGCGAAATGCAAAATGCGGCTCGACAGGATTCTGTAGCGGCGAACGAACTCAATTCCGTTTTTATTACTTCAAAAGTGTCGACTACTTTTTCCCTTTATACTTCATTCGCCATATATTTTAGGGCTGTAACTTCGTTTTGCTTGTTATTCCTGATATTCCTGGTGGCAGTGGCCACTCGTTTTCATATACGTAGTATGAAGACTATCGGTTAGCTGGTAATCCTGTAGCGCAGCTGCCACATAACGTTTTGCTGTTAATGTTTTCAATTGAAAGCGGTAAACAATGTAGTATGCATGTAGTGTATGGGCAGGGTCGACATGGAAGGCTCACAGGCATCGACGTAGTAACTCACGTATGCCACAATTCTGACATACAATTACACATACACACGCAAATGCATATACGTAGGGTAATTGTGCATGCTTCATTGAAGTGTACGTTTTCTGCGCATTAATTTCGTCCTGTTTGCATTTTTTCTGTTCCTGATCAGTATTGCTTATTTGGTGTTAGACGGCCTCCGGTTCTTTCCGATGTTGATTTCGCTAAATTTAATGCAAAGCCGTATGGATATTGTTTTTTTTTATTAGCATCAATTAATTAATTTTCGCGGCGTATATGTTAATAATTTAACGCTGCTTACTTTTAGATTTTAGCTTAGTGGAAAAGTACTTTCTCTACTTACATCTTACTGTTACTAGTTTCTGTTGGAAGATAGTTAAGCTTAAGTCTACTGAAATCTGAGCGAGGTATGCGATTATGATAAATACCTTTCAGGTTATAATTGCCTTTGTACATATGGTATTATACAAAAAGGTAAACAACTTTTGACGAGTTAAATTTCAAGCTTCAAACTCATTTTCTGTCTTTAAAGCTGTTAGGATCACTTTTTCATATTCAAGTCACTCAAAAAGATACACTGGACTACATGTACTTAAAAACTAGTTTTCAAAGTTAATTTTAGATTGAAATACCCTTTCAACCAGGTGTTTACACGTTCGCTTAATTTGCATAAAATGCTTAGTATGCACACTTAAGACAATAGGGGTATTCTCGAAGGCTTGCAAAGCGCTGTACAGTGCACGAATCGCACGGTTTGCAAAGCTGTCCAATGAAAAAACCGGTTTTGCAATCCGTGCATCGTGCGAGGGCTATGCAAGACTTCGAGGATACCCATAATATGTAATTGAAGGATGTGTCCTGCAAAACGTTAAACAAAAAACGGTGCACCGTTAGAGGTGGGACAGGATGTGCTTATGCTTGAATGTGAATTTGAAGCACAAAACCCCTACAGGACCTGGGGAAATGACAAATGGAAAAAATAATTTTCGAGAACAAAAACAAAGCTGTCATGCAAAACTCGTTTTTGAAAGAGACGAAAAAGGAAGAAAAAATTTCGTCATACTTCTTAAAAATAGCGGCAAAATATATAATAATATATGTATGTATGTATATAAACCAAAAAGGAAGCATATAAAAGGCAGTCACGTTAACGCAATCAACAGTAACAGGAGCAGAGCTGAACCCAAAAAATTTAAAAGCAATAACAAATGCCGTTTCATTGTTTTATATTCCTGTTTTCATTTGATTGGACTTTGCCTTGTGCCATTGCCGCACAGATTGCCAACTGTGCGCCGCCGCGGCATGCCACATTATACCACACATTTTTATATAATTTTAATATGGATGTATGTAGCATTGAAGCATACAAATTCTTAATCGAACAGCTGTAACATTGCGCCTGCGCTTTGCCTCTACCTTTTTTGTGTCGCATACAAGTCGACTATATTCAATCCAATGGCAGATGTTTGACTCAGTTGGACGCGCTAGCTGTAGCATAGGGCGCGCGCTAAACATTAACGACGAGCAGGAAAGCATAACAGTTGGGCAAGGGGAATGCCCTACATTGATGCATTGAACTCGCTGTGAAAACGTTTATATAGAATGCGCGCACTTTGGATTTTGACATTAAATTTATTAAGGTAAACTTTAGGTTTTATAGTGATATTCAATAGAGTTGGTCCATAATGTGATCAGAAAAATCATAGTTGTTAATTTATAAAATTTTTAAACTGGACATTGTAGGCCATATTTCTTGTCACATCCCCCTGGGATTTGTAATTTAACGAAGAAAGTTGAGTAACGCTTGTTGGTGTGCCCCAACTCAGGTAACATTTGGCTTTTGTGCAGCTGCCTAGCGTACCTATGTCAATTCAATGAAAACACATCCATTTGTACCTACACAAGGTCCTTTGCTTCAAAAACGTTGTTCTGCTCTCCTGTTTGTTATTGCTTACCGCTCCTGACATGCTGTTGACGCGCTCATACTGCTGAGGTACAATAAAATTAAAAAGGTGCAGCTGCTTGCCAATTTGGTCGGCTAGCAGCTTGTAAGAAGTGTACATTGCCAGCCAACCATGTAAGGACATATGTATGTACACATATGCACTTACAGTGGTATATATATATATGTATGCACATGAACATATTTGTAGGTATGTACTATGCACCTATGCTCGTTTGCCCAATATGCAATCAAGTACATACATATATGCAAATAAAGTATTAAATTATAAAACTAATAGTAGGTACTTTGTGGATGGATATTATGCATTGGTAAATCATGTGAAAATATGGTTTTGAAGATATGGAGGAAAATTAGGCAACACCCAAAGCCAGCGTAGGCAGCCACTGAATAATAATAGTAGATATAACAAATAAAAAAAGTAAGTATGTAGATTTTATAGATAGTTGCATGTAGAATTAGTAAGGTAATGAAAAGGTTCTCCTCCGCAACAACGCTAGAAGGGAGACCACTACGTGCTTACCTGTGTCACGGGATCCTTCATTATGAGTACATCGGTTACGGTGCCGAATACGTTAAAGTACTCTTTTAGCTTCTCCGATGATGTTTGCCAGCTAAGACCGCCAACGAAGAGCTTGCCCGGTGCTGGATCTGTTGTAGAGCTGCCGTTTACTGGCGTCGAGCGACCCGATGAACTAGTCTTTATGATAGCACCATTGGTGGTGCCATTATTTCCGCCAGCAACTGCACCAGCATTACCATTTAACAACACCATAGCGTTCTGTTGCGACTGTTGTTGTTGCTGTTGTTGTTGAGCGGAAGCATTATTTGTATTTTGTTGTGAATGTTGTTGCGCCTGGGCTGCTGCTACTGCTGCTTGAGCTTGAGCAGTCTGTTGGGCAGCGGTGTTCTGTTGTTGTTGTTGTACCGATTGACTTTTCAAGACAGCGGCCGTTGTGTTGGTCAGTGTACCATTTACAGCAGCTGCATTGACCAGCGCATTATGTAGGTCCCGATGTTGTTGATCGATGAGTCCAGCCGCGGCTGCGGCGGCAGCTGCAGCGGCGTTATCAATGGGATTGCTGTGTGGATAGAAAAATGGAGGATTGGTTGTGGGTTCATCCTTAATGCGTGCTGCAGCAAGAGGTATTGCATGGGGATGGTGTTGTAACATGGTGACGCCCTCTTTAATGGCGTGTAAATCACGTCTAAGCTGAATTTTGAAGGATAACAGAGACAGAGTATGTGAAAACGGCGAGTGTCCAGTTGCTTGGACTTTAAGCGCACGAAAGTGAGGTTAGAACGCAGATATGCTGAGACAAATAAACCGAGCTTAAACGCGCGAACGAATGCAAGAAACAACTAATTTTAATTGCCGCGTTTTACTAAAAACATACTAGTCTATTCGAGTAAATAACTTGACAGTTCTGTGAAATTTTCACTTTTTTCCACACGTCGAAAAAATAAACAGCAACGCTTTCAACACGGTTGCCCTGGGTAACTATGAAAGCCGTGGCTAAGTTGTTTTCTTGAAATAAATTCTGCTTTTCTTAGTTAATACACAAAGCACCAAATATTCGTGGTATTTATTGTTACTGCTTTTGCACAAAAGAAATTTTAGTAGCACCTGCTGAATCACTAAACCCGCTATGTTTCTATTCCTTTCACTATAACTGCTTATCTATTTTTTTATGAACATAAAAGTTGTATGTATGCGATTCCAACATGCAAAATACTTCAATATTTATTCAAGTGCACAATACTTTAATGTCTCGATATATTAACAAATTCACAGCGCAGAAAAACGACTCTTGCTTGATCACACTTCCTTCGGCTTTAAATTCGGTTCGTTTGCACCACCTTGCTTTTATACTCATATAAATTTTAAGGGAAAAGTGAGCAATCCTGGCATACGTGTTGTTGCAACATGTTCGTTTACACAGGTAGTTTTTTGAGCGCATTCAGCGCAAGCGCATACTGCTGAATTGGTTTGAAGGATCGCACAGTTGCATGAGCTAGTGCTGGAAAAGGCTATTTCATAATGCAAAATATGCAGACGCATATTTCAATGTTGTACCGAATACTTAAGTACTTTGAAATCTCAATGAAATTATGATTGGAGACGTAAGTCGCATTTTATGCCTTTCGCAATGCTTCTGCCAAAAATAGAATGTAAACAGGTCTGTTTACTCATTATTTGCAGAAGACAGTAAAGAAAAAAATTATCCTATAAGTAAAATATAGCTGATTTTCATAATGAAATGAGTACCAACTTAACATTTATTTATAAAAGGTTTTCAAAAAAAATATATATATTCTCTCTCAAACAAAACCGGTTTTTGTACCGATAATGGATTATGTTTTACCAAAATACGTCCTACTAAACACAACACTGCAAGACATAACATGCGCAGGGTTGCATGAACATAGAGGGAAGAATATTTAGCTAAAGGCAGAGTTCCTTACCATACTTTTCAGTTTGACGGTGCTGTATTCAGTTACGGTCCTTAATGTTCGATGTCTGAAAGCCTCAAAAGCACGGAAACCTGAAAAACTTGTTGTGTAGTTGTACTCTAAAGAGCGAAATACACCACACAAGCGGCTTGTCAAACATTCTTCAAATCTACTTTTCCCATTTCGCCATACACCATGCAAACATGACTCGTTCAAGCAAAGAATTTTAGTTTTCTTCCAGTTCGCAATGCTAAATATTATGGTTTTCTTTCATTTTCCTCTCTTACGTCCTTACTCGGTGAAAATTTCGTTGCGAATGAGGCGATTTTGCTATACACAACGCAAGCGGTTTGATCAAACATCAACATGGCGGCCAGAAAATCAAAAAATTTTGATTTTTTGCTCAAATTTCCGTCAAGCGGCTTGTCAAACTTTCAAGCACCCCCATACACAGCACAAATGGCTTGAAGCAAAGGGAAATTTCGCTTGGTTTGTCAAACCGCTTGTGTGGTGTATTTCGCTCTTAACTTAAGTCGAAGGCGTATTCATACATATACATATGTATAAATTCTCCTTTCCTTAGTCCAAACGTTATTTGAAAAATGTATGTACACATTTCGTCCTAAACTACACGAATATATGTATTTAAATGTGTCTTATAAAATTCAGTTATAATTCGACCTTATTGCGAATTCCATGTGAACAAATATTCCCAAAAATTATGAAGCAAATCCAAACTAATTTTTCCCAATTTCTTTTTGTTTTGCTGTTAAAGAAAAATCACGCTTTGAAAAATCTTATTTATTAATACCAGGCCTTTGCCGTTTTACACAAACTTTCAAAAGTCGATTTCGAGTTGAAATCGTAAAATTTGGTTGCAGTTTTCTGATAACATGAGTAAATTTTCAGTTGATTTTGCAGAGATATCGATAACAGCTAGCCAAATTAAAATCGAGATTTTTTTCGGAATCGAAAGCCGGAATATAAATTAGACCAAAAAACTATTTATTTCAATGAAAAACTTAAAATTGAACTTCACCTAGATAACCCAAGGCATATTCAACAAAGAAGAGATGATTTCGACAGTGTCGCTCGTTTGGATTGCGACTGAATTGTCAAACATAGAACAAAATATTTCAAAACGTATTGAAAAGCTTGTTTGTATTTAAATTGTTTGTATTATTTGACACTGAAAAATCAAATCTGCTACCATTATATTCCTTTTCAATTAAATCATGATTTATTTTATTTCCTTTTAAACTTATACCGCATTTCCACCAGACATTGAAATGCTAAAAAATATATGCCATTTAAAAAATGCCATGTGGAAACAAACATATTGCTGTTCCACTAATTCTGAAAAACTCCATTCTAGACCATACCAATTGTAACTTTTGTATTGGCTGGCGTTACTTGCGGATTCCTGTGGACACTTCGCCTCGCACTCACGCGCCACGACGTATGGTAAGCCCGTGAAAATAAAAAATAAAAATCAACATCGAAAATAAAATTATTTGATATTTAGCTACTTTGGCAAAATGCCGTATGAAGATTATACACCCATAAGGAAAAATCAGTTGCCACCGATAATGAAGGTGCATCATTATTCAAAATAAATGTTTCTTTTTATTCCTTGCATCAATATAATAAATTCTAACATTTACAGTTTCGTACGTACAATCAAAAGTATCGTTGGCCACCGGGTTTGGTTGCTGCGGTGAAAGATGGCGACTTTTAAGCAATCACAATTTAAATAATTGATCAAAACCGCATATAATGAGAACTTTAATTTTTAAAATGTACAATATTATATTTTATTTCTTTTTTAGTAATGAAACATATTTACGATATTATGTTAATTGTATTTGAAGTAATTAGATTTAAAAAAATTCAAACAAATTTTAAGGAGAGTACCACAACTTTTAAAAACTTTTACCCAAACTAATTTCGAAATTCAAGAAAGGTTTATGTTTCAAGAAATGTATCCAGGTAACAGTGGAACTGCCGAAATAGAGAAATCTATTTATAACACTGAGTTCTTACAAAACAAAAAAAAAAATCACGCTTTGAAAAATCTTATTGTATTATACGAAACTATTATGAAAGGTAACTTATTTAAATATTAATATCGTAACAGAACTTTAAGTAAAATAGAAGTAATTGGTAACGTATTTAGATTATTAACGTATGTAAATTTGCTTATAATTTTGGTAAAATAGTTTTTTTTTTTGGCTTAGCATTTTAAATAAAGATTTTGGTATTTACTAGCACTAATTTTACTTCTCAAATAAAGTTCAATCAGCTTTGTAATATGTATTCTATTTTTTTCTCTTTTCAGTTGACTCCACTGTTTGTTATTGTTGGTGGCGCAGTTTTGGGGCTATTCTATGCTATCGTTCGAAATGGTCTTTCACGTGACGATGTGCGGTAAGTGGTATAAAACCATATTCATAAAAATCCCAAACTTTCCAGGCGAACAGAGCTTTTCGGGTTTTCAGCGCTCTTTTTAGCTGAAAGAGCAGAACTCCATACCAGGCTTTTCAGATGTTTAGCATTTTACACAGATAAATACAAACTGAAGGTTTGAAAAGCGCTGAAGGCTGCAAAAGCTTGATATAGATTTCCAAAACTAGAGCTTATATTAGGGGTCTTCACACCCATTTTGTTAGTTTTGGTAAACTGTTAGTTGTTACTCGGTAATTTTATCATATGTAAACGTTCCTTTCGGCTTACTTTTGTTAGTCTGATGAATAATGTTTATCAACAGCTGATTCGTAGCTTTTCTCCTATAAAAAAAAATAAATTGTAAAAGAAAGTTGAATGAATTTTGCTTACTCATACATAAATATCGCTAGCTTAGAGTGAAAAGTTGCTAAGTCCACTTTTTATGAAAACTCATATTTTGATATAGGAGGCTAGATAAATTGAATACTCATCGTTTCGAAAATTATAAAGGTACTTGTTTTATTTTTTCCTCTTCATAAGCACTAAAAGGAAAATTTGCTAAGTCCAAAAGAAGCACCACAAATCCGATAAGGCCAAAATAATACGACATCTTTTAATAAATATCGAATCCTTCTGATTCTTATGGAGTTTTGCTTTGCTTTAAACGCGCAAAATGTTTGATTCAAAGTCTTGCGAAATAGTTAAAGAAAATGGCTATAGGAAGATTTTTTCCTCTCCTGTAAAATTTTTAAAATGGAATTAGCAACTTTTCTTTCTAAGCTAGCGATATGAGTTGTGCCTTTCGGTAGCGGGCGGATTTTAAATTGGCAGTTGAGCAGTTGAGTGCAACTACCGAACATTTTTCAAGCTTTCCACCACGATAATTCGGTAGTCGGTAAACCGATATTAAAAAAAAATTTTACACAAACAATGCGAATAAATTACCGAACACCGAGTACCAAGCTCGGTATGAAGACCCCTATTATTTATTCCTAGCTTGTAACCAGTGTTGCCATAACCAAAGTTTTAACTGCAAAATACTGTTTTTAGAAAAAGATTACAGTTTTCAAAATTACTTCGTATTAGAAATTTATGGCCTTATTCATAAAAGATAAAGTAGCTTTAAAAAAGGTTTATAAACTGAGAAAAGTATGAAAATGTCATTTTATAAAGCTCTTTAAACCTACTATATTTTTTATGAATAAGACCATTAATCTTTTTCCACAATTAAAAGTTTGAACGAACAAATTAAATATATCGCACGTTTAATAATATAAAGAATTATTTCAAAATTTTAATTTTATGGGAAACGACAATTTTGATTTACTACATCTTTATACTACACCTTGCGACAGTAAATTTTACACACAAAAATGAATATATTCGCGAAACGATAAGTCTCTCTGGCATCAGTATTTTTTTTAAAGGACTGAAATTTTAAAAATTTGATTATTTAAAAAAAAAAATAAATAAATTTTATGGTGCATAAGGACTAATGGGTATGGAAGATGTCCTTTACAAATTTTGTCCTTAAATATCCTAGAAAATTTGCAATATTTATTTTTGAAAAAATTATTGCTTGAGGACTAATACCCACACGAGCCCATCATCGAATTTCGTCCTGCACACTTTATTATCTTAAAAATATAAAATTTATTAGAAGCACATGTTCAACCTATTCGTCCTTGTAAACGAAAAAAACTTTATTGTTTTTAAACTCTAGAGATTTTTTCTCTTATTTGGTATCCATATTGTTATTCTACATTGCACTGATTTTTTTTAAATAATTTTTTAAATCAATCATATCATTAATATTTCAAAGTCCTTTGAAAAAAAAACATGACGGCAGAGCGAAGAGTGAGTAAATTTATTCCTTCGCAATTTATGCGATATGTTTTCACTATTTTGGATTTTTAAGATAGAAAGGGGCGATACAGTGTTATCTCTTTTTAGAAAAACTGGAGTTCAGCTAAATTTCAGTAATACGGTTAAACACCCTAATTTTCCAAAAAATCACTTTGGTTTTGAAGGTTACAGTTTTTTTTTTGTTGAAAATACAGCTTTTTTCTTAGGAATTCGCAGTTTTTTGAACAAAAATCTGGCAACATTGCTTGTTACACATTTTTGAATTACGAGTTGAAATATGCAAAAAAAAACATATCACAAATTTATCTTCTCTTTTTTTCCACGAAAGGTTCTATTCCAGTGGCAAAATGAATTGCGAGGACATTGAAAAATCTGGGCCAAGAAAAGTAAGTTTATAAGTTGTAAGTTGTAGCGAGACTTTTAACACTAAACACATTTAAAATTTCTTTACAGTTTTTAGTTTTCAATCAAAAGTACAAAGTGCCTGAGGGTTTGAAGGAAGCGTTGGCTGCTATTGAAGAACCAACAGAAGAGGAAAAAATTGCAGCCACCAAGAAGTCAAAGTAAAAAAAAATATTTCGAGATCGAATAAGGCGGTTGTTAATTTATTGTTTTGGAAAAGAGTAGTTAAAGTTAAAAGAAAAGTTATGGATGGATTAGGACTAAAGAACAAATGCTTATTTAAGCTGGTTAAGTATTGCATATTTAAAAAATTATTGTGTCCAATAGTTGTTTTAAAAAAGAGTTTATTATAGTTTTTGTAAAAATGCTATTTATTTATTACATAATTTAATATTATTATTTTTTAAATGTGTTTAAAAAAATGTATACTTCTGGGATGCAGACTTTCAAAAAATCTACTACATATTTACAGAAAATGTGTGGCAAATTTTCACTGTGTCAACGCCTTTCAGCTTTATTTATTTTTTAAATAATTTACATAAGTTCCTTGTTTTCTGAGAAGTCTTTTTTGTTTTTCTTTAATTTTAAATATTAAACAATTTTATAAATGTAAAGCAAAATCGAAATCTAGAATAAAATATAATCTTTGTATGTGTGTATTTGTATAAAAACGGGTTTGAAAAAATATAACATTAAAAATAAAACAAAATTATTGTTGGTTTTTTATAGTCTTGTGGCTCGCAAAGGATTAAGGAGGAGTATTGAGCGGAAGTAATGCGGTCCGTTTAAATTTAAACCCAGTCTCGATTTTCTTCACTTCAACTCAACTCAATTAAACTTAACTGAGGCTCAACTTGCATCAACTCATCTCAGCTCAACTCAGAAAATTACATAAATTGTCAATAATTCCCAAAATTTTTAAGACGTGACGAATATCCCGAAGTAGTCCCGAAAATCCCAAAAAAGCCCCGAATTCATTCCCGAAAAATCCGAAATCCAGATATAGTCCCGAGAATTCCGAAAATCCTCAAGTAGTCTTGAAAATCCCGAAATAGTCCCGAAACTCGAAGAGTAGTGCTAAAAATCCGAAATACAGTCCCGAAAATACCGAAATTCTTTGTTTTTATACCAAGTAAATAGCAAGTATTTAATATTTCGTCAAATTAGAAATACTGATAAATACCATCATACTTGGTATACAGGGTGTCCTTGATTGCACTTCCGGTCTATTTAACCCACTTCCAGCTGGAACTAGAAATCGGTAATACAGCAAAAAGATAGATCACTGGTTCATCCATTTGGAGCAATAAGTGAGCAATCAAGGCATTCTTTTTAATTTTTCTAAAAAAAATTATTGTTAAAAATTAGTAGGTATAAAATGCATGAGGCTCAAAGATTGCTTGCAAAAGGAACGATCTAAAGTTTATTATTAAATTGGGATGATCCTATTTTTTACTGGGCTACCAATAATGAGCGGAAATCATTCGCACATGTGAGTGCGTGTGCATACCCGCTTAAGTAAACAAATGCATTTCCAAAGATAAGCTGTGAGCCGAAGTTAATGCATACATATACATATGTATATACATAGGCATGCATAACTGAATACAATATACATATATGAAAGGATTTCGAAACTTCAACGTTTATCGATTTACCATTGCGGTCGGAAATATGTTTGTATGTATGCCGACACCCGCTGTTATTCGAGCCGTTCACCATTGTCAGGACAACTGTCAATAACAACGAGTTAACTGAGTTAAATGCCAGTACATATTTATGTAAGGATATGCATTTTTAGATATGTGTACCATACATATATATGTCCACACAGACATACATGTCCATAAAGCCATACATACGGACAGTAGGGTGCATCGCTGTCTAGTTTTCGTATTCTTTTCTCAACACCTTCACGGGTATATGCGTGCTCTTTGCATTCTTATAATGTTGCCACATAAGGTGACATTTTTTTCGAGAAAAGTTAGATCATAAGTTGTGGCTTTTCCGCCGAAATTATAAAATTTATTATATTTAAAATTTTCCGACAAAATATTTCGGAAAAAAATAGGATTCCGTGAGCTGGGCTGATTTGCAAATACCTCCAAAAATCTCATTATTTTGATTCTTTTGATACAATTTTTACTTTGAAGACTTTTTAAGCTTCATATAAATAATATTTTAAAAAACTACTTTTGTTTACAAAACACGATTTTTGTAGGTAATTTCTAGCTCAAGTAAATCTTAATATTTTTCCATAATAATTTGGCGGAAGTCTTAAAATGCACCCTAACGTACATATGTACATACAATAAAACGAAAAAGCAGTAATCACGGTAAAAAGATTACAATACGCAAGAAGGGAGGTCGTCTCTTCCTACATATTCTCAGTTTTATTCAATAAGCAATGCACAATCCTTCTTTAGGTTTATGTACTAATGTAATGTAATGTACATGTACATACATATGTATTACATGCAGATGTATATAGAGTGTAATATGATATCTACGTGCATGAACTTCGATTAACCCTAAGGTAGCTAAAAGAGTATATATAAATCTTTTAACACATATGTTCATACATACAAACATACCATATGTAATCAAGTATTCGTGCACCAACATGTTTATATATGTATACCCCTATCTTCCAAACCTCCTTTCTTTAAATATAATAATTTAAAAATATAGATCTTGCATCTGACGGTACGATTTATAAAAATACGACAGATAGATACATGTACTTTGGAAAAATTCCGGTTTTAGAAAAATGCGAATTTTCTAACTATGCTAAAAGAAATTTGCTTTGGCAGGCAATTCAAGGTAAAAACCCAAACTGGGAAGTATAAGCAAATGAACGCCGCTACTTTGGTCCCAGATATATACAAATGTATGCATATTGGTACACAGACGGGTCTAGGCTGAGAGGCAGAATAGGTGCGAATATTTATGAACCTTGGACTTAAGTTTCCATTGCAATGACCGTCGAATTGGCGAGAAGAGGCTCTTCTTGTTCTCGTGTGGCAGCAGCCATTTTTGCGTACTTAGTTGGTTCTTACACTTACAATTACAATTACAATTATCTACTCAACGTCAAATTCGTAAACTCGGAACGCAGTTAGTACTGAGGAGGTCTTAGAAAGGGCATGTTCTTGGGATATCATTCAGCTAGAACAAACAGCAATCTTCTAAACGGTTGCTTGCTGAATATTTTACCAGCTTATATGAATCGCATGGAGACAAATTGCCAGCTTTGTCTTGAGGGCGACGAGATGACGGACACCGAGACAAAGAGCAAGGTATTTTACTTCCTCTACCGTCGATCCTAGATCCAAACCAGACCCGAAATGGTCTTGAACTAGTCCCGTAACATTCCAGAGATTGTCCCGAATAATCCGGAAATATTTCCGAAATGGTACTGAAATAATTTTGAATAGGTTCCGAAATAGGCCCGAACAAAATGACATTCTTGCGCCTTTCATGAGTCATGTATCGGCAGACTATACCGTAAATAAATACGATACTACTAGTATACCTAGAGGTATATGTGCTGATGCATAGCCGGAGAATTGACATTTCGGACATCTGCATGCTACAAATACCAGTCGCTAGCTGGTAAAAATTATGGAAGGCGAACTGGTTAAACTGAAAAGCTAACCGGTAGAACTCTAGTGCACAATTACTAGTAGCTTTCCCTGCAGGGTTGCTGGCCAAATTTTCGCGTAAGGCCTGATAACACCGTGCAACAAAAAATAAACAATTTCAACCACGAGTAAATCAATTGCTTAACGAAACTAGGGACCAAGTGTAGTAAAACCACGCTTTAAGTTATTCTCTTTGACGTCATGATTTTTTAAGGACTTTGAAATTACAAAGATATGACCAATTATAAACATTAATTAAAAAAAAAAATTAACAATAAAATTATGGGTACCAAACGAAAGAGAAAATTCTGTAGAAATAAAAAATAAAATTTATGCGTCACAAAGACGAATAGGTATTGAAAAGTCACTTTTACTAGTTTTTATTTGTTTAAGCTAATAAAGTTAGAAAAACGAAATACCTGGATTTTGCTCTGTATGCTCGTATATATTAGACTATAACATGTTATTTATATAAATATTACAAATTTTCAAGGATGTCTAAGGATACAATTTTAAGAGGGCATTTTCAATACCTATTCGTCCTTATGCACCAAAAAAGTAAATCTTTTCTAATTGTACAGAATTGTCTTTTAATTTCATACCCATATTGTTATTCCACATTTAAACTTTTTTTTATAATTTATTGAGTTAACATTATAACTAAAATTTCAAAGTTCTTAAAAAGTCTTAACATCAGCTAGAAAAGCGAAAACCCAAGTTTTTTTCTTTATATTTGACCCAAGTGGTCGCGAGTACATTGATTTCTTGCGCACAGTGTAACACTTCCACAATCACCTTAGCTCAAAAATACACCTCTTCAATAATACCCCTTTTCAATTTCCTTCCAGAGTAAGTACATACAAACATATGTAAGTATGCGTCGCCTAATTAAAATTTTTAGCCACACTTCTGCATCTATCCATCCCGAGTAGAAGTGAGTGAAAATCTTAATTGAAAACAAACATTTTGTCTTTGGTGTAAAAGAAAAATATAGGTACATATATACATTTGTATGCACGTATACATTTACATACACCAAAGTAACAAGCCAAGTTAAAAGAAGTGCCTTTGATATGATGCTGCTCCAACTGTTATTCTTGCATTGCTATTGTTGCCTACAATATGCCATTTTTCCCATAGACAAGTCAAAGCAAAAGGTATACCAAAGCAGCCCCAAGCGCAAGATAACTCACTTGCACACACACACACATACATACAAATAAATGAGCGGAAAAGTTTTTGCATAATTGAGTGAAGCAAAAGTGTATAGAGATTGAGTACTTAGGGAAGAAGTGAGTTTTCCTTGTGAAAAAACTTTGTATGTACACTTCCAATGCGCAGGCGCTTCCACAGCAAGCAAGGCATATTTTCCAAGCTGGAAAGTTCGAAGATTGGAAAAATCTGTGGAAAAAACTCAATGCTTTGCGAGCGGAAAATTTGTTGCTTGAGTTGCAAGCAACTACGAAAATATGCGAAAAATGACGCATATTTATGTAGTTATGTACAGTTGTGCACAAAATAATAGGAGTGCGATATTTTGGTCAGTTGTCGCTATTTGTATTTTGTTTATTTATTTGCATTATTAAATATTTTATAAAAGTCTAGCTCGTTATAAAACAAACACTATATAAATTCTGATTTCAAACTTTGTACAAAAATAATAAAAATTTCACAAATTTCAATTTTTTTTAATCAGAATCTATAGAAAAAATTGTGGTATGTATTTTTGTAGCCCATTTAATTTTAGTATAGTAAAGTGCAAATTTCAAGTTACTAAAAAATCCCGTTGATTTTGAGAATTTTTCGGTTGAAGGTGTTTCACGTTTTTTCCATACAAAGTATGTTCGACAGTTTCCTTTTATGTATATGGAGGTCACTGCCAGCAAAAAAAAAAAATTGCCAAAAATCAACGGGATT